AGATCATCCACCCTAAAAGTGGAGGAACACGTGAAATACCGTCTACAGTCCCTTTAAGTTAACATATTTACTTAATTCGTTCTATTTTGTAACTTAAGAATCAATATATATACTTTGCTTGTCTGTCTGTTTGTTGAATCCTCAGAATTTAAAAAATTTTGCTTTAAAAAAATAAGTTTTTGTGCAATTTTGAAAATTCACGAAAAACATGATTGAATCCGCAAACTTTTTTGATCTTGTTTAATATTTTACAAAGAGTTGCTCACCGATAGAGTCACAATTCAAAATTGAAATAGTAGATTTGCACGAAGTGTCCTAGTATGATATATTTACCTAATGAGTTCTATACTATTCTGTATCTCGAGAAGAACTAAATTAAATTTCCCCTTCACAGATCCTATTGTGACTCAGGTAGTCTGATTTTCCCTCATTCTACTGTTGTGACTCAGGAAGTCTGATTTTTAGCTCAAATAAGAAAAAGTGAAAATAGATGAATGTGATTAAAATTACATTTTTAAAATTTTTTAACGATTTTTAGCCATTTTAAGTTAATAAAATTTATTATAAAAACGTGGTATTTAGGAATTGAGTCTTTGCTGCAAACTCAAATCTTCTAATCCCTACATTTATTCAACCTGATGGCTTAAGCCTTTGATATTTCAAACTTAGATCTAACTGAATTCATATCTAAGGTCTACGACATTTGGTTGCAAAGATGTTGGTACCAGAAAATTAGAGTTTGTGGCAGAGACTCAATTCCTTAACACTTAATTTACAATGTGGAATCAAATTAGACTTTTAGAGAAAATTTTAAAATTTGCTGGACGGAAGATTTTGTGGAACCAAAAGAAATTTTTAATCGAAAACTTTTCAACCTAATATATTCGCTGGGGGCAAAGAAAAGTTTAGAAAAATTTCTTTTTAAAAGATTCACAAAATTTCCATATATAGTTCTTATTAAAGTACATGATTGTGCTCATTTTTACCTATAGGAGACCAGGTAATAACTACAAACATAAGAGCGAGCATGAACTCTTTCTCTTCGGCTCACCTCTATTTGCACTGATTAAATCTTATGTATATATTTCAGGTAGGCAGTTTATACAGGACTCAACCGTGAACTGAAAACACAATAAATCAGTCCAGGGTTAATTATATGCATGACAATAATAAAATTTTAGCCTTTAAAATAAAACTTTCTCCAGGTTAACTATTCAATTATTTATATAATGAGAAAATAAACTTACAATGTTGATTTGTCCAGAGGTTTGTAGCCTATAGTTCATTAAATTGCACNGACCTATTATTGAAACTAAAGTGGCTAGACTTTTAAGCATTTAAAAACTTATCGACAATTCTGTTTTAAGACATGTACGATAGTAGAAAATTAGACTCAATTTCAAGAATATAAAATAGGCTTCAGAAAGGTTTACATCAAAATCTTAGATTGGTAGTTTGAATGGTAAGATAGATAATGGTAGATTCAATGTATTTGTAGAGATTTGTAGGATTAGTTGCTTGAAGATAGGGGTTCTCTGTAGGACAAGCTGGAGAACTTCTCGACTTTGAACACCCTGAACACACATTAGTTTATAAAGATCCACAGATCTTACAATGATATATTGCCCTTTAAAATTGCTCAGTTCGATTAATACACAAATATTCACCTCTCCTTCATTTTTTTTACTTTTGATGTATCATACGCCGCATAAATCTAAAGTTTTCAGGGACCTGGACCAGACAGCCAGATATTGAGCTCTCCGGATTTCCCGGCACTGTAAAAAATCATAGAATTAATCAATGTGTTTTTAACCCTTGTAAATGTATATTTATGTGCCTAATAAAATATTTATTTATTTATTTAATTAATAATTCTTACTCAATAAATCTATTTTCTAAAGAAAACAAAGAAAAATGTGAAAAAACTCATTTTACATTAAATCATCTTAGTTTTGGATAATTTATTTAAATCTATGAATGTTAATTAGGAAATTAATCCTTTGAATTTTGAGCATGAAATTTTATTTTATGAATATTTTATCAATATTTACCGAATTTTAAAAAGGGGCAAATATTCATTATTAAAGTATGTATCTGAAGTGTTTCTAAAGGAGCTGTAAGCGTAATTTCAAGGAATCCCACTACAAACCAAGATATGCACGCTCGTATGCAAAAATTGAGCACTATTTTGTAAAATTACTAATTTACCCCTTAATATAGAAATAAGCGTGTTGTAATTTTTAAATGCATATGTCTAGGGCTCCAAAAAGTGATAAAACCAAAGGCAAGGCGTAGCAACAATTTAAAGTCGAGGCTGTCTAAAAATTGTATGACTAACTTTCAGAGTTGTCTGGATCTCGAGGACAGAGATCGCAGTGGATATATATCTAAACCGCTGTGTAAAAAGCTGTAAAATCGTACTGTATGCTAGCGTACTGTGTGAACTGAACGCGGATGACGTAACACAGCGTGCAAGCAAAGTGTTCACCAATTACAAGCGATTTTTTTCAATTTACTACCTTAACACTTAATTTACAAT